GGTTCATGGTTGTTCGGCTGTATCAGAACGAAGACAATTATTTGGAAACCTGACCTAAGATTGGTTGAAAGAACCAATAGATAGTAATTAAGCTTTAACGGGATAGCTCGGCTGAAGGATGCAGTAGGAACTCAACATGGGGGATCATGAAGAACCTTTAGCAAGGTCGGCGGAAGGATATTGTTCCGCGAGGACGGTTCATGGGAAGACCTCGGCGTGTCCATGCCCATCATAATGGATTTGAGGTTGTAGGAGCAACCTCGACTTCGAGATGCACGAAAGAAGGAGACTGAAACCCTTATTTGAGGAGAAGTATGCACCATGTGGGACTCTAACAGATTCAGAGAGATCGAATTTGTCGAGAATAGGGCATAGGAAGACTTCTAGTCGTACCACGAGTCTTTTGGCCAACACGCAACCTCAACTATAAATTCAGATACAGGTTCTTATTTTTACACAACACACAAACAAGCGCAAAAAATATACCTTATTATTATACCCCTGTTGAGAGTAAATTGACTTGAGTGTCAAAGTGTTTTTCGTCGGGACTCATCTCGGCGGTTTGCAGGTCACTGGAAGACGTACCACTGTAAACTCTCTACATTCTTTACATTCTCTACAGATTATATACAATCCTCTAGTTACAAAGCTTATCATCATCTTCTCAGTACTAACTTGAACATCGGAGTGCTTACTCCTGGAGTCCCTCCCCGCCATTTATTTTGCAAGTCATCAGTTGTTTCCAGAAGATCAGATCTTTACAATAGCCGATCGACTCAGATCCAGGTCGTTGACACATTATTTAGCGTCGTCTATGGGAGCATTTTAAGGAACTAAGTGCTCTCTTACCAGACTTGATACCTAATAAGAGTGACTGAGAGACAATACAGATGAACTTATTGGAGGATTTTAGAGGAACTTGGATAGAAAGGAGATCTCCTTTGGCCGCAAGTCCCAAACCTGTTATCTCCGAGGTCGGGTTGACGTCACTTAATAGCCACATGCCGCCAGGTGCACGTCTAGAGGATATGATACATATTACTCCACCAGGAGTGAAGATCCAGGTGTTGAAGCGTGTTCCATAGCTGACCATTACTAGAGAGAAAAATGAGTGTACGTAAGGAGCCAGGGGTTTTGGAAATCAAAATTAATTTGTATTAATCACACTGACCTATCTTGGTAGCTAAAGAATACTGCTGATAGCGGTATCGACCGATAAAGGAAATGTTGCAGTCAGAATTGACAGCCATTTCTTGGAAGCAATAACCACACTCTATGATATAATGACACTGAAGAATTCTTAATTCGATTGGACAAGAATCCTTTGGGTAATGGGTGCGAGATCAAAAACAAGAAAAAAAAGTAGCAATTCGATTTTTGTCTGACTGATTGATTCGATGTGATGAAGCCGTGAGAATGCAGAGGCATGAAAGAGAAGCCTCTTCCTAGCCATAGTGACCTTGAGCTAACGACCAGAAAATCATCCTTACTTGAGTTGAAATACAAAAAATGATTTGATATGGGATATCGTATACTGGACCGACTCGTCGGGTCAACCAGATTAAGATGAGTTAATGGTCTGGTCGAGGAGGGCACTTGTAATAAGGGTCAGAAGTCGAAGATGAGGATGTGCGAGTTCAGTAGCATCACAGGAATACTTGCTAGGCTCTGGTCGAGGAAAGAGGGTTGAACAGAGGCGATCGTGCGATCGACCACTTCATATTTTAGGGACCGCTCTGTAACCATCCCAGACTTGGTCGAACATCAGAATATGCAAGGGAATCTCCAGCACGTGAAAAGAGGACACGCGTCGTACAATGAGTGGTCCAGGGCGATAACTAACTCTGATATTCTCTGACGCGTTTTCTGACACCAAAGATGGTGGAGGCGCGCAATCGTACAGACGAGCAGAAGGACTATCAGCTTGACTCGTCCAAGTCGCGCGTGAGGAACAGGTAACTCGTCCTATAAATAGGGACGAGAACTCTGATTTTAGGACCATCTCTCATACTTTCACATACTTACATTTATATTTTTATTTCCTCAAGGCTGACTTGAGCGTTGGAGACTCTTCACCGAAAAATCCCTCCGGTGTGAGAGTTTCCTTACAGGTTTCGGAGTTCTACCGGCGAGGAAGACAAGCTTGAAGCGGTTCTCGACTGGTCGGGCGTTAGACTTGTATTATTGTGGTCGTCTGTGGGACTTCTCTTCAAAAATCTATGTTAAGTGTTCAACTATGGCGGACGGGATTCCTTGAGTGAATTTGCAGTCTTCGTTCGATGATGCGTGGACGACCGGACCAATGTGAGCAGGTCCTCCACCTGGCTTCTCGGCACCCTTGCAAACGTCGGTGACCCCAACACTGACCCCTCAAGATGTGTTGATTCCAGGAGGAGGGGAAGACACGAGCAGGGAGCAGGAGGCTTGTGGTCCAACACCAGTGGCGACCCTCGCGCCATTGCAGGCGAATTCAGGAGTGGTGCAGTGAGGAGGAGCAGGAGTGCAAGCGGTGGCGCCACCTACTGGAGGACAGCAAGAAGGAGTTGTGGTACCTCATGCTCAGCAAATGGTGACGATGACCAGGGAGGAGATGCAAAGGATGGTGGGTAACGCGGCGGGGCAGGCGGTGCAGCAAGTCACTCACCAAATGTCTCAGGCTACCCCTGCGCCGACCACAGTGGCGGGAACCCAAAAGGAGGATTTGTCGAGTTATGGCGGAGTAGGAGATCTCTGTTGTGGTCCCTAATCAGGCCCCCACTTCTGGCGGCTCCGGTAAGTCGGTCGAAAGATCCGTCAGTGTTTAGCTTCACCCAAGGGGAGTCGGGTCTCATCCAAACAACTGCTCTGGGGCGTGGACGCTGGACAGACGGTAACAAAGATGATACGAAACGGTAGGGCGACGTGCACCCTGTCTAGTCTCTAGGCGTGAGTCTGTCTAGAGCTTTGAGGAGAGAGATATATTGATCAACCTGTAAAACAATGTGAAAGCACATAAAAGTAATATCCCCATGATTCGCACTATTCTTTTCTGTCGAGATGAACCACATGATCAGACAAGGGATAAGAAAGCCCACATGTCTAAAGTATGTGCGCTGTGAGAAAAAAACTCAGGAGTAGGGCTGGTATTTTTTGAACGAAAACCAAAAACCGAACCGAACCGACGAGAATATAAACCGAACCGAACCGACTCAAGTCTAACGGTAACCAAATTTCGGTAACCGAAGTGTTATCATTTCGGTATCGGTTCCGAACCCATTAGGGTTCGATTTTACCGAACTGAACCGATAACGATATATATATATATAAATCCTACATTGAGTCATTGACTAAGGAGAGAAATCAGAAATAAGGAAAAGATTAGATAGGGCTGAGACTTAATAATTAATATCGTCATTTTCTATTTTCACAAAACTTCTCAACTTCAGAATCCAGCCCTACCTCACCTCACCTTCACGCAGACCTCGACCCACTTCACCGAACGCCGTCAGCCGATTTTCCCACAAATTGAAAGCCTCGACCCACCTTCACCGAAAGCCTTTGCATATAATTCGGTAATTCCCAAAAAGCAGAAACCCACGATCACCGCAGGATCGAACCACCGACAAATCGCCTCCCCTCTTCCCCTGTTCGCGAATCGAACGACCATTATCGCCGACGTCCCTGCACCCCGTCGAGGAGAGCCCAACAACCGATTTTCTAATTCTCAAAGCTCTCAAAGCCTCGTCTGTTCTTTCTCACGCAACCACAACATCAAGCTCCAATCCTAGGTGAGAAAATCTTTTTCTGTGATAGCTAATGATGGCACAAGTTGTGTGAAACATGCAAATAATTTAATTGCTGATAGATGATTTATTGCTCTGATTATTTGTTCTGATGTCTATAATTTTGTCTGCCTCAGGTGTGTGTGTGTCTTTGGAGTCTTCTCTCTCTTTGTTACAGTAGTAATTGTGGTGTGAAATAGGGATACGAGTCTACAAATGTGTTTTTTAAAGCCACCTCAGGAAAACCAACAGATTATATTAGCACAATTGTAAGAATCTGTCTATTAATTATGTGGAAAACCAACAGTGGAATATTATGTGTAAGGTTCCAGAATCATGACTAACATGTGAGATTTTTTAAAATAAAGGCATATTATGATGGGTCTGTATGTTGGTTGTAACAAGAATATTAAGATTACATGTTCTTACATTTGAAAATTTGATGTTTTTGGTTCTTACAATCAACGTATTATCGATGTAGTGCATTTTTTGTGGTTCTATACTTCTATTGTCATGTTCATGTATATATTTATTATCGATATTCTCGGTTTTAAATTGATATATGTACTTGGTTTTGTATTAGGAATGTAGAGTCAAAGTGTGAGTTCGAGTAATCCGGCTCTAAGCAGCAATGCTAATGTCATTGATATAAAAGACGGAGATAATCAAACTCAAGAAATCTCGAGAAACACGAATGTTTCACAAAAAACCAATACCAAAAAGAGAAAGGAGAAAAGCATTGCTTGGAATCGTTGTTTAAGGAACATTATTCAGGATGAGGAAGGAAATGATGAGATGTTTGCTATTTGCAAACACTGTCAATTACAAATGCCGGCTGATTCGAAAAGGAATGGAACGAGAGGCCTACTCAATCATTTATATTATAGGTGTGAGAGTTCTCCTCTTCGTGTTGTGATGGACAAGAGCCAACCCACACTAACTTAGTCAATGATGGGAGGCGAAGTAAAAATTTCCGACTGCAACTAAAAAAGACTCGACAAGATGTGTGTGAAGTGGATTATAAAAGCAGAGATGCCTTTTCGAACCGTCGAACAACCGGACTTCAAAGAATTTATTCATGATCTTCAACCTCGCTATAAGATTCCAAATCGGAGGAAGATTGCAAAGGATGTTTAGAGTTTGTTTTGCAAGGAGAAAGAAAAGATCAAAAGCATCATTGGCGATCTTCGTGTGAGTATCACCATCGATACTTGGACCTCTATCCAAAATATCAATTACATGGTGGTGACGGCTCATTTTATTGACTCGGATTTCAACTTACACAAGAGGGTGCTCAACTTTTGTAAAATTACTTCTCATAAGGGTGAAGACATAGGAAGGTGTCTCGAAGAGAAGTTGGTCGAATGGGGCATAAGTAAGGTGTTCACCATTACCGTAGATAATGCAAGTTCCAATGATGTGGCCGTGGAGTATTTGAAGAAGCAACTACGGAAGCATGATAGTCTTATGCTTGATGAAAACTTGCATATGAGGTGTGCTCGTCACATTATTAACTTGATTGTGAAGGATGAGATGAAAGAGTTAGTAGATTCCATTGAAGCCATCCGAAATTGTGTGAAGTATATTCACTCTTCTAGTGCGAGGTTGTATAAGTTTCGGGAGTATGCCATCTTAGAGAAGAAGGACAAAATGTCAACTATCCCGATGGATGTTGTGACTCGGTGGAATGCCACGTACATCATGCTTCATGGTGCATACAATTTTAAAGGTGTATTTTCAAGGTTGGTGGAAAAATTTACGCCTTTTAAGTCATACTTTGAAGAGGGGAGAGTGGGGCCTTCGAGTGATGAAGATTGGGAAAAAGCAATGGGATTTACACATTTCCTCAAGAAGTTCTATGATGCCACCGTCAAGCTTAGTGCCACTAAGACTCCGACCTCGCATATTGTTCTAAAAATCTTGATAAACTTGAAGATTGAGATTGAGGCTAGAATTAGAGATAAGAAAAATGTTGTGTTGCAAAATGTGGCTTGATGTTCATCATATTTTCATGCATTATGAGTGATATAGTGTGATGTTTGACCG